GCGTGGCTTGGGCATGGTGTGGCTTGGTGGGTGTGGCTTGGTGGGCGTGGCAGGGGAAGGATACTACAAAATCTCCATTCCCACCCCATTCCAGGGGAAGGATACCACAAAATCCCCATTCTGTCCCCACTCCTGGGGGAAGGATATTGCAAAATCTCCATTCCCACCCCACTCTGGGGCCAGCCAGAGGTGGTATTTGCTGGTTCTCTGAACTGCTCAAAATTCCCGCTACTGGTTTTCCAGAACCTGTCAGAACCTGCTGGATTTCACCCCTGATCCCCACCCTTTATTATAGTCATCAACTTCTATGGAAGATATTATGTGCTTGAGACTTGAAATATATATTTGCACAAACTAAAATTTCAGTATGATTGTAACTTTTTAAACGTATTTTCCCATCTTTGAACATTTTCCAACTGCTCTGCTGAAACCAGGCTTCTGTTTTTAGATGGATAAATCTTAACTTTCTGCATATTTGAGTATCATAAATCTGGATATCATAAATTTGTATTTTGCCATACAATTTATCTAAAGTTGCCAAAAACCAACAGCATTCCAGGTAAAATGCAATGCATGACCTTTAAAGATTTTATTAAAAAACTTGCATGAATTTTGAGACAAAATCTGCTTCATAATCATTTTATACATATATAATCATTTTGTATATCTGTAAATCCCGTATTTCATCTCTTTTTCCAGTGCAATTTGCAATGTTAAAAATATTCAGACAAATTTTGGTTTTTGAATATGCTTATTCTAAATGGATTCACAAGTATTGAAATATACCTACTTTAGTTCAAAGCATAAATTTCTAATTGAATGTTACTCTTAAAACACGCATTTTGAAATAAATGTTGTTCTGCTTTTTATATCCAAAGTTGCATCACAAAGTCGGACTTCAGGGTTTAGTGACCGTGGTCTTAGAGAACAGATTTCCTGAAATTTTACCCACAACTGTCTGGCATCTTCAGAGCCAAGGTGGTGTTTGGTGTGCAGGATCCCAGATTGAATACCAACTCCCATTATCTGAGGAACTGTCATCACAGGGATTGGTATGCCCCACCTGTACCAGCAGAAGGAGTAGGCTGTGGACCCTGTTGGTCAAGGAATTTTGACTGGAGGAGTCCAGGAGAAGAGCCTTTTCTGCAATAGCTCCCACCCTCTGGAACTTTGTACCAGTGGTGAAATGTAAAATTTGTTACTACCGGTTTTGTGGATGTGGCTTGGTGGTGGGGGGTAATGTGACTATGTGGGTGTGGGCAACTTTTTTTTTTTTTTACTTTTAAAAGCATTTTTTCTACAACGTTAAGAGGTTGCGAAAAAATGCTTTTAGAAGCCTCTGACGATCAGGCAACTCAGCTGGGATCACCAGAGGCTTTTAAAGGCATTTTTTTCTGCAACCTCTTAAGGTTGCAGAAAAAAAAATGCTTTTTTTTATAGAAAAAAAATGCTTTTAAAAGCCTCTGATGATCCCAGCTGAGCTGCGTGATCATCAGAGGCTTTTTTTTTTTTTACTTTTAAAAGCATTTTTTCGGCCAAAGAGGTTGTAGAAAAAATGCTTTTAAAAGTTAAAAAAAAAGCCTCTGATGATCACGCGGCTCAGCTGGGCATTGGGGGGGGCAGGGATTTTTGTTACTGGTTCTCCGAACCACCCGCTGCCATCGCTACCACATCAGGTGATCCGGTCCAAACCGGGAGCATTTCACCCCTGCTTTGTACCCTCCCCTCAAGGTGAGATCCACAACCTTTTGGCCTTTTGAAAGAGCTTGAAGACATTTAGCCTGAGGCTCTGATAGGATCATCTCATACTGGAAGTGGTTAATGGTTAAGACCCTATCTTCTCCCTGTGTGCATCTCGCTCCCTTCGTCTCCATTAAAAAAAAAAAAAAAGTTAGTTAAGTTAGTTTGAGTATTAACATTGATTGTTTGAATGTTTTGTCTTGTTGTTTTTATGGTATAAGCCACCTAGAGTCACCTCTAGGTGAGATGGACAGCAGCACATAAGTTTAATAAATAAACAAATTCTGCCTGAGGGAATGTGACCTCATTCAGACTTAACAATGGAAAATAGCTAGATTAAGGGGCCCCTGAAAGTCACAGTCATTCATTCTTGTCATGTTTGAGCTGAAACTGATTCTGACCAATCTGGACCAATCCAGCCTCCAGGGAAAACATCCCGATGGCATATCCCTGGGGAAACTGAATGTAACGATACTTGACCTTGTGCTGATGGATTAGCATCATATAGATATTAAACAGAAGCAGGGATGGTATAGTGCTGTAGCACTCTGCAAAGCAGAGGCTTAGGGCCAGACCTATTTCTCCCTACCAACACTGACTAAAAGTAGCCTTGGAGGAAGGAAGAGAACTATTGAAGAATAGTGTTTTCCCTATTCCTAACCCCCTCAGTCAGCCCAGAATTATACAATGAACAATGGTACTGAAAGTGTCAAGAGATCAAGGATGATAATGATAGATGTATTACTCCCATCCCAGACCCACCAAAGGTGATGTACAAATGTGATCAATGTCATCTTGATTCCATAACTCAGATTTAAACCCAACCACAAGGGTCTCCAGATAATCTATTTTGTCCAGAACACTATGGAGCTGCAGGCCTACCATTTTATGAACAGCCTCAACAAAAAAGGAGGGAAACTGGACAAAAATTGTTCAAAACTGTTGGGTCAAGAAATGGCCTTTTGAGGAGGGCCAATTTGGGAGGGAGGGTCTTCCTTGATCAATTCTTCTGAAGGATCAGGTGATAGCTGTTCTTCACACAATTTCTGCTAATGTACAATCACATCTGTTTGTGGAATGACAAACCTTTTAGACAGGAACTTGTGCTTTACTCACTTCACATGTGGATTATTGCAACATGCACTATATGAGGAATCCTTGAAAAACATACATAAACTGTACAATGCTCCAAAATATAATGGCAAGGGTATGCCATGGTATGCTCATGTAACAACTGTTTTATGAACCAGCACTAGTAATCAGTAGGCTTCTATGTGCAATCCATGGTGATAACCGATAAAATCCTTCAACAAATAGAGCCTGGTTATTTAAGGGACTGTCTATATTCTGTAGTTTATGTCAGTGGTGGGCTCCAAATTTTTTAACAACTCTGCCCTAATGACTGGCTGGGTGGGCAAGGCTGGGGGGAGGTCATGTGACTGAGTGGGTGTGACCAACTCTACATCACTTGTGTGGGTGGTACCTGTATGGGACAGGCAGGGCTGGGGAGGGAATCCAGGGGTCTACAGTGTGTGGTGGGTGGGAGGAAAGAAAGATCCAACCTATTTGTGTGTGTGTGTGTGTGTGTGTGTGTGTGAGAGAGAGAGAGAGAGAGAGGGAGAGAGGGAGAGGGAGAGGGAGAGAGAGAGAGAGATTGTGTCAAGCTAGACTGGGAAAGCTGGCTGCAAAAGGAAGAGAAGTTGGGTAAATTGGACTCAGACAGTTCCTGGGTCCCCTCATCCCAGAAGCAGCAACCTCATACTCTTCCCTCTCTGCTAGCCCCCTTCTTCACACAGGATCACCCAACAGCAGAGATGGAGAAGGAGAAGGGGGCAGCAGTGTCCGCTAGCATTGAGGGGAGAGTACCACACAGAAACGAGCACACAGAAACGCTGCCCCCTTTTCTCTTTCCGTCTCCATTGCTGGTGATCCCGTGCGAAGAAGGGGGCTAGCAAAGAGGGGAAGAGTGTGAGGTTGCTGCTTCTGGGATTCTGGCTCTGGCTCACCTGCTTCTCTTCCTCTTGCAGTCAGCTTTTTGGGCTGTTTTCTGGCCATTTTTCTGGCCATTTTTTAGGCTGATTTTTGCTGGAAAAACAGCCTGAAAACAGCTCAAAAAATGTCTGAAAACGTCCTGAAAAATGGTCAGGGTGGGGCCAGCCAGTGGTCTGATTTGCCAGTTCTCTGAACTGCATAGAATCAGAACAACCAATTTGGATGAACCAGTCTGAATTGGCAGCAGCCCACCTCTGGTTTATGCCCATTCTGTATAATTGGGAAGAGATGGCATATTCCAGGTCCCTTTGATTAAAAACAGCATTACCTTTTGGGATCCAGAAAACAGGCCTTTTGGTTCTGGCATCTGCCCTCTAGATAACACCTGCCAGAGTTTCATGTTATGTCCACCCAGATTTTCCTTAATAAGCCTTTAAAACTTGGCTTTTTCTCAGGCTTTGAGCTAGAATAGATGGTGGACTATTTGTCAGAGTCAGTTTTTTCTTTGACTATTTTTTTGTACTATGTTAACTTCTTTTACTTTTGTACCTCACACAGAGTTGTAATGGAGTTAGAAGGGTGTATAAATTTAGCTAAATAAATACCAAGTGAAGATACTAAAAGAGAAAAAAAAAGGCGATTCTAAATTATTTGCGATCAGATATGGGTTAATCCATTACAATTGCCCTAAACTAACTGGTAGGAGGCAGCTTGTTTCTGAAGAACACATTACCCAAGGGAGGCACTTTTTTGTGAGGTTCTTCCATCCACCCATGGTAGTTTCCTGGAAGTCAATGAATAAGAGGTTGCTTTAACTATAAAAGTCAGTTGTCCATGGTAATCCAGTGTGTATTTATCTTAAATTGAAATTTGAGTATGGAGAACTTTCAACACTCTAGTAAGGATTCTTGATTCTCATTTTAATACAGAACAATCTAATTCACACTTCATTAACTAATATATGAATCAGAATGTAATTATACAGTTTTCTCACTCCTCTGAATCTTGCAAAACACTTCTTCAATCAAAACATGTGTACATTAGGGAACATTGTGTACAAAACTGTGCATAGTGGAGAAATTTGCATATATTATGGTAGACGCAGATAAAATTATAAAAATGATTGTGTAGATTTAGGAAAAAATGTTCTAATGCAGAAATGAGTTGGTATGAAGCTGTACTTAAAAAAATAGGAAAAATGAAATAGAATATTCAATTTTAGAATTTCGTCATTTTATGACTGATTGCACAAATCCAACTCTACTTACGTTAGGGAATACAATGGGTCTTGGTAGAAACCATTATATCAGTTCTTTCCCAAATCAAAACTCCAATTTCAGAAAAGGGCAGGAAGCAGATCCACAGTTCTTCTGGATGCCTAATACTCCTAAACTAGCAATAACAAAGAGAAAGGTGAGGATGATGTTGATGAGGAGGAGAAGAAGAAGGTGGAGGATTGTATTTTGAAAGGAGGGAAGGTAGGGAAGACCAAAATGTCCATCCCTTGGAGATTTTAAAGAAGAGATTGTCTAAAATGGTTTAGGATTTTTTGCATGAGCAGGCAATTGGACTAGAACACCTCCAATATTTTTATTTTGCTACTTTTATCCTGATAGCAGAGACTTTTCAGGATAAGGAAAGAGTATTTAATTTCTCAGAAGTTCCAGTGTTATAACTCTACTATACTGTAAGTAATATGTATGATGGCCATATGTTGCATACCAGATTGACACGGAAAAATTAAAAGGTTGTATACATTTTGAAATAAAATTTGTTACGTTTATGAAGGGCTGAATAACTCAGTAATGAATATTAACAATAAATAGTATTTCATTATCTTTCTAGTATTCCTTACTTTAAATCTGTAGGACAAAAGAAAACCTAATAATGGCATGCATGGATTTATAAATTCAAGTGATTTTGGCCATTACTTAACTCTTACTGCTTATTTTGATTTGAAGAATTTACAAATCTTATCAAATAGCGCAGAACCCAATACTGCTCTTTGGGTGAACCCAGAATTTGTTCACATCAATATTGATATATTCTATTTATTCTTTCTTCTTTTGTCAATAATGCCTTGTTTAAGAACTTTGATGGGGACATTCTCATAGGTCTCTTAGAAAACTAAATGCTGATAGAAATAATTATGAGAAGCAAAGTTGTTATGTCATCAGCAAAATTTATCCTTTTATGAGATAAACAATTCTACTTCTTACTATTACATTCCACCTGTTAATATTGATATCAGGTTATCAAGGTTGACACATCTATAATCTCCCATGTTTTTTCCTTGGTTCCTTTTAAAATATTAGTGTTGCATAGGCTAACTTTCTTATTGTTATGGAAAACGTAATATGATGTCCTTCACTGTGCCCATGAAAGAAATCCTAAGCATGTGTAAGGATTTATAGAAGTAAAACTTCCTCTGAATGTCAATGATATGCTGTATTTCATGAATATGGAAGGCAATTTACTGTGAATATGGAAAAGATAAGGAAGTGAGGATAAGTTGTAGGTGTGGGAGATCAAATATTAAATGTTGTTAGTCTTTCTACTGCTTTGACCTTACTACAGCATGATCCACAGGACAGTTAGATCTGACTACCTTTGCACAAAGCTGTTACTCATTTCGATCCACACATGTTTGCCCTAGGGTCTTGTTTACTACTCTATATAATTATTAAAAGTCTTTTACCATTGTAGTTGAAGTTCAGAGCTGACATCTATGTCAGCTGTGTGGCATAGCATTATGTCTAATTTTTCCTTTGTTCCTCTTGTTTAATGTTCCAGAGAATAATACTCAAAGGAAGTACTCAGTCATTTTTCCCTTACCATTACCAGATACATGCTCCACCTCTACCTGCCAGAACCACTAATTTATTTTTAAAAATATAGATGTGGAAAATGGATTGGCATATTCTGATGTAAAGTGAATAAACATTTCATTTTCAAGACTGTCTCTTAAGACAGAGTAACTTGGAATTACTTCCTTATTAATATTAAATAATTCCATTATAAATATATTTAACTTCCAGCTTAACAAAATCATATGTATAAGAACAAGATACTGACAAGCCATAATATATTTAAAATATACTGTAGCTTGCAACATTTCACAACTGCTTTCCACTGGTACATGTTCTTAATATTGCCCTATCATTGTGAATTCTACTGGAGGTGAAGGCTGAGGAGGAAGTACTGGATGTTATAGCAAAGGAATGGCTATCCCAAGACAGTTATTTGTCCAAGGAAGAGCAACATCAAGCCCATATGGAAATCACAATCAGCTACGACTTGGGCAAATGAAGAAAATGCACCTCTAAAGCACTTTTCTGATTTAAGACAATAAAAACAAATATAGCCTTAACAACGTTGCAGGCATTCCCTCAAAATTTCCTCTGGTAGATCTGAGTAAAGAATAGCCAAAGGAAAAAATAAGACCTCAGTACCCCCACAAACTCTCTACCTCTATTTCCATTGGAGACTTAAATATTACATCATGATGAAGGTATTTCTGTCGCAGGTGAAATTAGAATCAGTCATTTCAGGGTAAAAACTCTGCAGCTACCATAAGCCCTCCAGATATAGGACCCCTTCATCACAGTTTCTCTTGGATATTTTGAGACTGAGTGTGGTGCTTTTGGGCATCATTGTGCCCACAGACACCTACTGAAGACATACTAGGGCCACTTTCTCCACTTCACTTGATTTTTTAATCAATACTTCCATTTGAATAAAAAGAAAGGAGCAGGCTGCAAAACAAAATGGCAGCCTCTGGAATTATATATATTTATGATAATGAATGTTGTAGCCCTGTTGACTCATTTTTACCTTCTTTAATTTAGAAGATAAAAATGGTAGATGCTCAGTGTCTTATTTGGAACTGTGGTCATCTACTAAAATAAGGAAGCATTCTGGGAACCTGCAGAAAATGGGAAAGACTAGCCTCTTAAGTTTACTTTTTCATAAATTGCTCTGCCAAAGGCATAGGACCAAAAAATTTGGGAATCCCTGCTTTAGAAATTGCATCAGAATTGGGGAAAGAGACGTTTCTTGCAGTAGGCAGCTAGAACTCTAAATGCAGTTTCCTTCGTGTATCATTTTTGAGAAACTGGTTGCTAGTTATACTTTGTAAATCCTTGACTTTATCTTTTGTGTTCTAATAAGTGATAATTACTCAGTTTTGGCAAGGTTGAAAAGGGTCAGGAGAGATGGGTGGCAAACAAATTTAATAAATAACAAATAAATAAACACAGCCCATTATACCCAAGCACTAGCACCTGATAAATTTGTTCAAATATGTAACAAAGAGCTAGCAGCCAAGATTAGCAATGGGTAACAAAGATATGGGTGGGGTTTCTATGCCTTTATACATTTAGGGCAGGGGTGGGTTCTACTTACCTTTACTGCCGGTTCTCAATGGGGCCGCATGCGCAGAAGCTTCCTGATGATGTTGGGGTCAGTGGGTGGAGCCTCCCGCCAGTTTTACTGTTTTCTATAGAACGGGTCCGAACCGGGGGCAACCCACCACTGATTTAGGATGATCTTCAAAGCAGCATACAAACATTAAAAAGATAAGAAGAAACTTTCAGGATCAATCAAAACTGTTTTCCAGAGAGAAACAATTGCATATTAATTTGAGAATGGTGAGCTTTCTAGAAATACTTTGTTGGCTACCATGATCCTGGTAAGCTTGATTCAGGAGAATCCTTTTTACACTAGATTCTGGAACAATGAATTTAGTGCATTTATTACCTACTCAGAGAAACATTCTTCCCTCTTCCCCACTTTTCTGGTCTTTCTATCCTATTCTTAGGTTCTGCCATCAATGTTCAAATATTACCTTGAGAAAAGCGAATTGACCCTTCATTATTCTTGCAACTAGGAGACTGGGCTGAAAGGAATGCTGCTGTTTGTTTACACGGAAGTTATTTAAATCAGCCTTTTCACTTTTTTATTTTTATTTATTGCTCGAGATTAAATTTTAATGCATGCCGGACAATTGAGCTGGGTAGGGTCAGCCAACTAAAATCTGTAGCACAGTCATCAGCGTGCACAGCAAACTGTATTCATAGCAAAATGACAATGTATGTGCAATGACGCCATTAGGCAAATGTAGAGTTAATACACTTGAATCTGAAGCAAGGATATAAAATGCAACTTCATAGTCATGCTTGTCATCATTTGTCCCCTTCCCTACACTCCTGTACAAGAGGACTCCATAAGCACAATTTAGCTAATACAGTGGATTAAACAATTCCAGAAAAGAGATGCTTTCTAAGCTTTCTGATAAGTTTTCTAATCATACTGATAAGCTTTCTAATCAGTGATGGCATTGAAAGAGGGTTCCTATTTTAAAGGACAGGCGTTATGGGCCTAGTTGCAATGGTGACCATTGCAACTTTATCATTTCCTTGGTTCCCAGTATATAACTAAAGATACTACTGTTAAGTTCATACACCAGTTTCTCTTCAGATTGTATAAATCTTTCACTTTACCTATTAGAAAACAAAAATTCATTGGTGTGCTGCCCTATCTGTAAAATGAGTAAAATGTGTTTCAACTATCTTTGAACTTTTATTCATTTTTCAAGTGTGCCTTTCTGTGATAACACATGTCAAATATATTAAGGTTTGAAATGTAATTGGCTCTGCATATAGAGTTCTTATTTTGACCTTGAAGTACACTGTGCTAATCTGGATTATAATAGATTGATATCAATGACTTCATATCATACATTGCTGCTAATGTTTTGCTTGATTTTGAGTTCCCTCTCCCTCTGCCATCTGACTTTTTTTTTTTATCCCCAACCATTATGGAGATACAATTCCTAAATTTACTCATATCATAATACTTAGTGGCTATATTGTATGAAAAAGTTTGCTTTTCCAAGCTGGTCTAGAACCTCTCCTGCCAATTGCAGAGGCACAAATGGAGAGAAACAAAGCAGCCAATGGGTGCTAGAAGTTGTAACGTTGAGATTTTAAAAGATGATGGCTGAAATATTTAGATTAAATAAAATATCTCTGTGGAAAAAAAAATGTCTGAAAAATGTTCCATTGCTTGAAAAACTCAACCATTGCTAAATTAACAGTACTACTCCCCCCCGCCCAAGTGTTTTAAAAACTGAATTGTTGGAAAAAAATATATCTAGAAATGGCATCCAAAATAGCGTTTAGAAAAAATGAGCAGGGGCATTTGCAGCACTAAAGCAGAATGTTAATTGAAATCCAACTGTGCCAACAGGAACATTGGAAAAAGACCAGTCAGGATTAGACTAATTAAGATGTCTGTAAAAGAAAAAGGGGAGGGAAACTACCCTGAACAGGTTGAATGGTTTTAAGGAGACACTTAACAGCTATGATAACATGAAGAATATTTAAACAGTTTGTCCAAGCCACAACAGTACAACTCGGTGAACGTGAAGATAAAGAAAGCATAGAGAATTCTATTTTGTTTTTTAAAAAATGATTGATGGAAAATTGACTTTCTTTAATACAGACATTGACATATCTATGGGTACGTTCAGGCTTGCCTGTCTGTTTGCATGAAGTTGTACAAAGGCTGCCTGAGCTAAGCCAAACCAAAGTAACTTTTCTGTTCTATGTAGTGTGATGTAGGATTTCAGTTGAGCTTTCTGCAGTGTAAATAATTATCGGTAAATATAGGAAAGGAGTCATGGACTCTGTCTGAGATGGAGCATTGTAGGAAGACATCTAGGTTAGAACACCCCAATGTCTCATAATTAGCAACAAAATAAATTTGCTACAGATAGTTGGCAACTAAGAGTAAGCAAGCTGCCTAGAGTCTCCTGGGTAGCATAGAAGTTAAGTAAGTAAGTAAGTCAAAGCATTTCCAGAGCCTTGTAGGAACTTGGATCCACCTGACTATGCCTGTGCAAAGGGTTTGAAGAATGGGATAAGGCAGGGGTGTCAAACTGGATTTATTTGAAGGCTAGAAAAGCATTGTAGTTCTCCTCCATGGGCCAGCAGGAGGGTGGGGGGGGGAAGACGGCCTGGACGGCCTCCTGAAGCACTTTGCCAGCCAAAATGGGGCACGGGGTGGGGTGGGGGGGAAGCAAAGTGTTGCAGGAGGCCATCCAGGCCGAAAATGGGCCACACGGAGGCCACGTGCGGCACCCACACCCTGTTTTGGCTGCCAGAGGCACCACAGACCTTTGCTATTTCCATGCTGGCCCCAAGGGCCAGATTTAAGAATTCCGCAGGCTGCATCTGGCCTGCAGGCCTTGAGTTTGACATCTCTGGGATAAGGAATAAACTGCCTTCTGGCACATTAACCATTTCTAAAAGGGAGCTCAACAGCTTTATTAATGGCAATCCATATATATTTATTTATCATTATAGTGGAGTCACAGTTCCACAGAGTTTGAGAATCTCTGAAGAGAAATCCTTTTGTTGTCAGTTGCCATGGCCTTCAAACAGATGAGACTCTTCCTTGGGGTTATTATAAGAAAATAATTTTTATGGTGAGAAATCTAAACAGTTATTCTTTTTGTTTGACATAATAGTATTGTACTGTAACTTCTTATGTTTTAATTCACCAACTTACACATAAGGTACTGTAAAGCACATTTTCAACATGGAGTTGCCCACATATAGCAATAGCAATAGCACTTAGACTTATATACCACTTCATAGTGCTTTACAGTCCTCTCTAAGTGGTTTACAGAGTCAGCATATTGACCCCAACAATCTGGGTTTCTCATTTTACTGACCTCGGAAGGATAGAAGGCTGAGTCAACCATCAGCCTGGTGAGATTTGGACTGCCAAGTTGCAGGCAGCTGGCAGTCAGCAGAAGTAGCCTGCAGTACTGCATTCTAACCACTGTGCCAGAGAATCTTTGCACTGCACAATGCAAAGTAAGTAATTAATCCCATCAATTACTACTATTGGCATACATTAACATCTGAGTTCTGTAAAGGCTTCATGCAAATTATATACATTTTTCATCATAATTTACATAATCATTTTTCCAGTGACCCATTTCCAATCTATTGAACCATGAAGCAAATTAGATAATGGTTTGCTTGACAATCCTAGAACTGTGTTCAGTTTTGATTGCATAAGCATGCCTTTATAATGCATCCTGATCAAGTAAAAATCTCTGCACTTAGAGTAACTGGTATGATACAAAATAAAAGTTTGTGAAGGGGCTTTAATTATGTTGGAGTCTAAGTATAGTATTCTTTTAAATTCTGTAATGTTTCCAGCTTTCTAGGCATATTGAGGGCTATTTATGTCATCCAAATTTCTACTTTCCAAGTTAGCATAGTTAATTCTCAATTTCAAGTACATTTTCCAAGGTTCAGAGGAAAAATATCTATCTCTGAAGGACTTCTGTGGATCTGTTCAGTTTTGTTGCCATAACAGGGTTTTTTTTCCTGGTTGAATTGAATTTTTTGTTTTTAACTTGCTTACCACCCAGAGTTTTTTGGATAGATGGTCAACTGCATAAAATGGATGGGAGAGAGAGAGAGAGAGAGAGAGAGAGAGAGAGAGAGAGAGGGGGAGAGAGGGAGGAAGGGAGGGCGAGGGAGAGAGAGAGAGAGAGAGAGAGGGAGAAAGAGAGATGAGAGGGAGAGAGTGAGAGAGAGAGAGAGAGAAAGAGAGAGACTTCAAAAGAACAACATCCATTTCACTATTAACACTGTTTCAAAGTTTTCTTCTGTATTTTACTATTCAATTTGATGAAAATGCTTTAAAAACAAACAAACAAACACAAAAAAACCAGGAATGAACCTTGCTGAAATTTCCTTGAATAGGTTTCCTTGAGCCTATTTTTCTATTGCTTTGAAGATATCATCAGTGAATTTTTCTTATGACATTGCTTCCGATCAGAGAACAACTGTAACCAGGGTTTAAGGCAGTGATTTTAAAAAAAAATCTAAACAGAAAAAAACCCTCAACAAGAACAATAATACTCTGTGCCTATTTACTATAATACTGTAAATTCCCAAATCACTGGACAATGAAGAATTTGTATTCTGAACACTTTTGGAAGTATTATATAGATTTTTGACTGCTAATCACGCAAATAACCTGTAATTTAGCCTAGCACACACAGTTTTACAGAAATGTTCTGTTTTTGCCACCAAGATGATTTAACAAATTTCTTTGAGCAGGTTGACAACCTCATTTTCTGTATTGACATTGATGGTTTGTTCACAGATTTGAGTTGTGAGCATGACTCACTAGAACGGCATCTCTTTATTGATTTATCAGTATTAAGCCTTAAGGCTGTCTTATTACATAATGGCAATGCATATCCTTCAGTACCTATTGGCTATGCGGCACACATGAAGGAAGCATACAAAAACATGGAACGGTTGTTCAATTACACCCAGTACCTGAAGTATAACTGGAATATCCATGGAAATTTAAAAGTACTAGCTCCGTTGCTGGGAACGTAACTTGAATATATCAAGTACTGTTGTTACATATGCAAATGGGACAACCATACAACAGAAATGCATTACATTAACAAGAAATGGTCAGTCATAAAGAATTTGGTTTCAAGACAGAAAAACGTGGGATGTGAACCACTTGTTGATCTGTCAAAGATATTTTTGCCCCTACTTCACGTAAAACTCAGAATGAAGACAAATGTTGTGAAACCAATGAACAAGGAAGGTGAAGTTTTCATTATTTGGAACAATGCTTCTCTCTCCTGTCCCCTGAACAGTCCACAGACTAGGGAGGGTTTCTTTTGAGCCTCTTGCTTCTTGTACATTATTGCTGTTGGCTCCGCTGTCTTTTATCTGATTATTTGGTTAGTTGCATCTCTTTTCCCCGTGTTCCCAGGTCTTTCCCATATACCATTACACAGACCTTCTTTAAAATAATCTTTGCTATTATACCAAAATACTGTTTTGGTATATTGTATATTATTTAATTTTCCAAATTTGGTGTACTGGTTGAGAATACTGGATTAAACAGAAAAAAAGAAAAATCATGTGAAAAACAAGGAATTAATGAAAGAAACAAAGACCTCATGATTAAAATAGGGCATGAAGTTTGATTACAATATACAGATGGACAAATGGAAGAGAATGTGGTTAAATGGGATAAAATTCTTCCATGTCAAATTTTAGCAAATGTTTATACGTCTTTGCAATTAAATCCTCAATATTTATTAAAGTAGCAATATTTATATTCATAAAATTTTTCAGTTGTTTACATAAATGAATAGCTGGTTTAGTTTCTAAAACAATCTAATTTTTTAATATTTTGGATTTTAGAAGGATCCCAATGTATTTACCCAAATTGGGAACATAATAAATACCGTGTTTTCCCGAAAATAAGACATCCCCTGATAATAAGCCCAATTGGGCTTTTGAGTGCATGTGCTAAACCCCCCCCCCGAAAATAACCCCTCCCCAAAAATATTTAAACGCATGCGCAGCCGGTCCCTGCCATTTCCTCTAGTTTTCTCCACGTGCCCCAAATTAATAAGATCTCCCTGAAAATAAGGCCAAGCACTTATTTCGGGGTTCAAAAAAATATAAGACAGGGTCTTATTTTCGGGAAAACATGGTAATTATATATAATTTTATACATATATATAATTTTTATTTTGCTGATAAAGAAATAAAGGGAGACTATATATATGACACAGTGGCTCATTGGCTAAGATGCTGAGCTTGTTGATTGAAAGGTTGGCAGTTCAGCAGTTCGAATCCCTAGTGCCACGTAACGGGGTGAGCTCCCGTTACTTGTCCCAGCTTCTGCCAAACTAGCAGTTCGAAATCCTTTCTTATGTCCAGATTATCCAAACAAACAAAAGGCAAGTATTCACTTGCTATGTTTAAATAAGATTCTCATAAGAACAAGAAACAAATTTAAATCTCTTTCCCAATAACAATATATCTTCTGCCTTTAATGCTAGGAATACATGTAAATTCTGATGATTTTCCAAGTACTTGTCAAGAGTTCAAAGGATTCAAATAATAATTCTGTAGTTATACTCAAAATGGTACATATAAAAACTCATTAATATGTATGCCCAAAGGTGCAATTGATAGTCTGGAAAATTAAACCTCTCATTTTCATCTAAGAGCTGCAATTTATAAAAAGAGACTCTTGGAATCTGACTGTTCTATAAACATTTGATCAATAACTTATTGATCTGTCTAAAGTATCTGAGTGAAATTAACATGGGCATCCCTCTTAAAATATATAGTAATCATGCAATTAAATTCATATTCACAACATGTATTCTTCCCCATGAACTCTCATGCATTTTCAACCAACTATTATTATCATTATTAGTTTATGTTACAGAATTTTTAATATTTGCATCTTCTAACAACATTTCTTAAAATAATTATTCCTATATATTTAACAGGATCCAAACAAAAACCAGAGCCCCAGTCCTACATATTTTTTGTAGAATCTTATTATTTATAGGTCAAAAGTATCTTAGATTTGTTTTGTTTTCAAAACATTTACCCTATACTTTACAATATCCAAAGACTTAGCCAAAACTTTATTGTTGTTTATAAGACCCAAAATATAATCGGCATGAAATAACTTGTCTCTCTGTCTTGTAGGATTGACCAGTAGTCAAGAAATACACTGCAGACTAGCACTTGGTAAGGCAGCAATTACATTTTAAATATCTTTTCAGAAACATGCAGGCAGTCATTCTACCTGTGACACTCCATGGGACCAAAATTTTGGCTTTAGAGAAACAGGGTAGAAAGAACATTGAGGCTTTTGAAGAGGCTGCCACAAAGAGGAGGGGGTCAATTTATTTTCCAAAGCACCAGAGGGGAGAACAAGAAACAATGGATGGAAACTAATCAAGGAGAGAAGCAACCTGGATTAAGGAGAAACTTCCTAACAGTGAGGACAATTAACCACTGGAACAGCTTGCTTTCAGAAGTTGTGGGGGCTTCATCACTGGAGGTTTTTAATAAGAGACTGGATAGTCACTTGTCTGAAATGGTATAGTGTTTTTCAATTTCACCAGCGGGGGGGAGGGGGGGGAGGGGCTGGACTAGTTGACCTTCAAGATTCCTTCCATTCTGAACTTTGGTTCAAGAAGACAATGGGTAGTCAGGAAAATAAACAAATGGATCATAGAAAATCAATGAAAAAAAATCAGTCCAGAGTTTTCACTTAAGGCATAAATGACAGGCTCAAATTATTGTATTTTGCATACATTATATAAAGATCTAGTCTTCCTTGGAAAGTTGGAACGAAATTATGATTATGCTAGGAAAGTTGGAATGAAAAAGATGATCACCAATTGCAAAGTGTATGGTCTCAATTATAGTATCAATTGCTGAACTGTTGGAAGCACTGAAGAGCCAGGTTAGAAACAGGTCATCCTGGAGGAGATCTGTTTGTGTGATCTTTAAAAGCTAACCCTTATCAGAATGCACATAATAAATAAAATAAATTATTGCATGACTGATCATCTCACCTTTATTACTTTATAACTAAGGCAGCGAAAACACCTAATACTGCTTTCTCCTCCTAGTTTCCCCAAAACAATAATCCTGTGAGATGAATTGGGCCAAGGCAGAATGATTTCTCCCAAAGTTACCCAGCTGGCATTCGTGGTTTATTATTCAACAATTCTAGCCACCTTTGTATCTTAAATGTTGTATATTATCTGATGTGCATGATATATTTTATTCCATCCTCATCCAAAAAAATTCAGCGTGCATGGACAGTTCTTTCTTCTTTGTTACGCTCTCAAAACCCTATCAACAAAGATTAAGATTGGAAAACAGAGCCAATCCAGTGAGACTTTTAATTCATTCAACTCACTATTATTAACACAAATGTATAGCCATTTT